TGCAGAGAGCAGGCCGCATCACCAGTGGTTGTTAGGTTTAATTCTCTGTATCCAGCTACAGGCTTTTCTGTGGATGTGATTCTGTAATGAAACTACAGATCAATGAATGACCTTTTGAACATATTGTTTACACTGTGTGGGTAATATGCAATGACCAAACGACTAAAGTAATTAAATATGAATAAGAATGAGCTTAAGTCTGTTTTTATCTGTCTTTGTCAGTCAGAAAGAGATCTCCAGCAGTACCAGAGCCAGGCCAAGCAGCTGTGCCGTAAACTGGACGCTCAGAGTCCAGAACGCTGCACCCTCGAGGCTGGGGACATGAACTTTCAGTAAGATCACTCAGCATAGAACATTTTGTAGATAATTTTGGTGAGCTTTAACTTGAATCACAAAGGTCATAAAATCATTAATGGTTTGGCCTCATTTTCAGCCTTTTAATATCCCAGGGTGTGTGCTACCTGTCCCTCTGCGAGGCTTCTTTTCCCAGAAAGATGGCTTTTGCATACCTCGAAGACCTCAGCAATGAGTTTTATGACCAGTATGGAAGGAGAATACCCACAGTAACCAGGCCCTACTCTTTCATAGAGTTTGGTGAGACTGGTGTTAAAAATCCTTTAATACAGTACATTTGAAAAGTATTCACAGCTCTTTACTTGTTCCACATTTTTTCATGTCACAGCCTTATTCCAGAATAGATTAACTTTATTTTTCACCCCAGAATTCTTTACACAATACCCCACAATGGCAAAGTGAAAAAAGTCTGCAACAGAAATTTAAAGCAGCGACAATCTGTAGCGATGGTATTGGCCAGGTGATGCTTAGACATGATGCTTGGCATTCAGGCCAAAGAGTTCAATGTTTGTTTCACCAAACCAGAGAATTATGTTTCTCAAGGTTTGAAAGTCCTTCAGGTGCATTTTGGCAAACTCCAGGTGGGCTGTCATGTGCCTTTTACTGAGTGGCTTCCCTCTGGTCACTCTACCAATCTGTCCTGATTTCTGGAGTGCTGCAGAAATGGTTGTCCTTCTGGAAGATTCCCCCCTCCCCACAGAGCAATGCTGGAGCTTTGTCTATCTGTTTTTCTGCACCCTTCACAAGATCTGTACCTCGACACAATCCTGTCTTGGAGGTCTACAGACAACTCCTTGGAGTTGGGCATGGCTTGGTTTGTGTTCTTGCATGCACTGTCAAGTGTGGGACCTTATATAGAAAGATGTGTGCTTTTCCAAATCATATCCAATGACCTGACTTTACCACAGGTGAACTCCAATCAAGGTGTACAAACATCTAACAGATGGTCAGTGGAAACAGGATGCGCCTGAGCTCAAAATTGGGAGTCATTGCAAAGCCTGCAAATATTTATGTGTGTTATTTTTAGATTGTTTTATTTGTTACAAATTTTCAGGACTTTCAATCTTTTTTCACTTTGCTATTATGTCATTTTGAGGTGAAAATGAATTTAATCTATTTTGGAATAAGGCTGTAATGTGACAAAATTTAGAATAAGGGAAGTGCTGTGAATACTTTCTGGATGCATCGCAAACAAATAAGTGACACTACTCACTTTCTACAAAAAGAAAGAAAATTTTTATAGTATCCTACATGTTGTTCCAGACACCTACATCCAGAAAGTTAAGAAGTCATATGTGGACAGCAGAGCTCGGAGGACCTTGAGCAGTGTTAACACAGAGCTGCAGGACATCCAGAGAATTATGGTTGGAAATATTGAGGAGGTCCTGCAGAGAGGAGAAGCTCTTTCTGGTAAGTACTAAAAAAGAACTGGATGATATTCAGAAAATAATGGTGGCAAATATTGATGAAGTCCTGCAGACACTCTCTCTGTGGTAAGTGTAGCCAGTGTTGGTAACACATGCCATCAAATGGGAGATTCTGATCAAAATTACCAATCAGAACAAAATTAATGTTTCCTTCATCCTATTTGTTTCTCAGCTATCTGCACAAAAGCCAGCAATCTCTCCAACATGGCAGAAAAGTACCACAAGGATGCCAAATATCTCAACACTCGCTCCACCTATGCTAAGTTTGCGGCTGTGGCAGTGTTGTTTGTCACGCTCATCTTCTACGTGCGTTTCTGGTGGCTCTGATGTACGTCCAGACAAGGATTTCGACACGAAGCTGGAGTTTCTCCTCGAAGAGCACTTAAACTCATGTTACAGTCTGTTATTACCAGGGTGCCTTGAAACAGTCTTAAAGACTGTTTCAGTCTTACGGACCTGTGTTGAATGTAGACGTTCTTTCTGTGATTTACTCAGTCGTGGGTTATACAATAGAAGCTGAGCTGTAAGTCTTTATTGGGATGTTTAATGGGCTTTTGTGTGATAGAAAGGCTTTTATATATAGTAAATGTGCATACTGGAAACATTAAAGGGGACCCATCAGGCTCATTTATGGTTTCATATTTATAGCTTCAGAGCAGTTTTGCGTGAGTCAAAGATCAAATGAAGCTTCTTGATCTTACGCTGGGCCTCAATTAAATTTCATGCAAGCTTCACCTTTTTTAGCTGACTTTTTTCTCATTGGCTGCTGCTCATTAGCAGGTGGGTCTGTGCTCACAGGCAGAGCTGTGTGCCCGAGGTGACCAGATTAGAGATCTGCACTGTTATATATACAAGAGAAAACAAGCATGACAAGCATGACCTTTAAGAGCAGAAAGAGTTCGTGTTTCTACACACTGATGTTGGAGATTCTGTTAGCGTGTTAGCACTGATGAGAATCCATGTAAGCATGTGCAGGGGTTAGAGTCTTAAAACTGTGATCAAATGTGAATGTTTGTTTACAAAGTTTACACAAGCGTGAGAAAGTGTTATTAAAAATGTTAAATATTTATCAAGAAATCAATCTGCTTGACTTTTCTTTATATGACACAATTTATGTGAAAATCTTCAAGGCTTCAGTGCTGACGTGAAGTGAATAACACTGATTATCTCTTCATCGTGGCAGCTGTTAGTGGGTGGGGATATATTAGGGAGCTAGTGAACATTTTGTCCTCAAAGCTGGAAAAATGAGCAGGTGTGAGGTGTTCTCGGTCTGCAGTGGTTAGTATCTATCAAAAGTGATCCAAGGAAGGACCGGTGGTGAACCAGCGACAGGGTTACTGATGCACTTGTGGTCCAATCCAACAGATATGCTACTGTAGCTCAAATTACCCAAAAAGTTCATGCTGGTCCTGATAGAACCGTGTCTGAATACAAGGAGCATCACTTACCAGGGAACACCTGGCAGCATGATGCACAATGGGAGGAAGGCAAGCTGGTGGAGGCAGTGTGATGCTTTGGGCAATGCTCTGCTGGGAAACCTGTCATTCATGTGGATGTCACTTTGACACGTACTACCTTCTTAAGTAGAAGACCATGTGCACCCTTCATGTAAACAGCATTCCTTGATGGCTATGGCCTCTTTCAGCAGGATGATGCGCCCTGCCACAAAGCAGGAATTTGAGAAGCACAACAGTGAGTTTGACGTGTTGATTTGGCCTCCAAATTACCCAGATATCAATCCAACTGTGTCAGCCAGTGTGGTTGTGTTGGTCACTCTCATACGAACAACACGCCCGTGGTGATACTACGATCAGTTCGGGCAGGTTGTTCCATCTTCTTCACTCCCAATTCTGGAGGTAGTCTGATAAAATCCAGCTGTGCTTTTGTGATTAATTGTTGTGGTTGATTGATTTCTCTCTCCTCTGTTTAATTTTAAACAAGTTTTTGACAGATTCATAAACTGTACTTTCTTATTTTTAGGTCAGGTCATCTAATAAATTTCTTCAGAACTGTAAAGACTTTAACTGCTATTTCAATTGATCACATACAAGTTTGCAACTTGGTTTAAACAATTAACAAATTTCTAAAGTATTTGTGCTTTCTTGTTTTTAGTACAGAGCGTCTAATAAATTTGTTAATCCCTCTTTAGACAAACCAAGCAGCTCGTGTTTACACAAACTCAGAGCAAACAAGAAAAACAGAAAAAGCGAGTCGGACCAGCGAGGCTGAGCTGCTTTTTATGATTACTTTTATGAAAATCACTGAGCTCTGACTGTAAATGAAGAAAGACAACAAAGACTCTGTTCATTTTTAAACTGTATATAAAAGATATACAGCCAGCCACTGTGGCATCACCCTCTGGTTTCCTGTTCTTTAATTAGACTAAGTTGTAAGTTTGTGCCAACATAATATTAAGGCCTCGTTAATCGGTTGTAGAGACGTTTAAATATCCTCTTTTTATTGCAGAAAATGTTTTTGATTAATATGCTTCATTAATTTGTTTGAATTTATAAATAGTCTCATCTACTGTTTACTTGCCTGCTGTGATAGCAACGTTGGTCTTTCACCTTCTGAGTCTGCATGTGTGCCAAAGTACTTAAAACGTCCTGATATACTTCCTGTTGCAGTAGCAGGATGTCATTAGTTATGAGTACTTTGGTATGTGTTTACAGTACTGTGCAAAACTCTCGAGACATTCCTCATTTGTATTTATTTTGCTTCCAAGGAACCAACTTTAAATTATATCTTTAGGCACTTTGTTACAGCTTCCTGTTGCAAAAAAATATAATGAATAAATGAATCAGTGAAAAATATCAAAGATTGTCAAGACTGACAAACATAAAATAGTATTTTTGCACCAACAAGGTGATTCCTAAAGAGCAATTAGTTAGAAACTTGGCCTCAGCATGGTGTACTGTGTGTTCTTAAGAAATGTGAGGAAACTGTAGATAGAGAGATAGAATTTAAACAATAAAAACTAACAATAATAACTGGTGCACAGTGTAACTTTTTTCTCTTCTCCGCTGCTGGGTGATGGACCACCATCGGTACAGGTGATAAACCAGTTGTATCACATACTTTGCACACTGCCTCTGACTGACAGCAGAGCTCACTGCAGGCAGATGAGCCATCCCTCGATTTCCATCGGACAGTCAATACGCTCTCCCGGCTGGATAATAAACTCCCCTAGCTGACGGCAGATCCTCAACTTAAAACACCATGATTTTGCTGACAATGATCACTCGTGTGGCAGATGGACTTCCGCTCGCTGCGTCTGTACAGGAGGATGAACAGGTATGAATGAAGGCTGAGGACCCCAGTATGAAGATACCTGCACACCAAACTCCTCTTAGAAAAGGATTTGTTTCTTACACTTGGTGCTCTAGGGGATGATCCATGAGTTTATTGCAGCTTCAGCTCAAGTTGTAATTTATTGAGCAGCACTAGGTGTAAGATGTTTTACAAATGAGAAGCGACTGAAAGTTGAGCTGAATATAAGATTTTCTGGTCCCAGAAAATCCTGCAAAAGTACTAATGTGATGGAATATGTGCTAATAACATGATGCGAAACTTAGGAGTCTATCTCTGCCTGTAACTGTGGGGATCATTTTATTACAAGAAATAATCAGATGCAATATTAACAAGGCTGGTTCAGATCACACCGTTACCTCTTTATAAAGTACCCCATTATCAGGTTTAATTATGCAAATAATCCAGATAGAGAGACTACCAGACTGTGATTTTCCAGTGAATGAGAGCAAATATTTTTGTAAATATTTTGTAATTTCACACAAAAAGCTTTAAAAGGAAAAGCATGAAAAAGAAATGTATCTCAGTTTTCCTCCACACAGACATTTTGCAGGTTCCACGTGTGAACGACTCTCTGATGAGAATAATGTATACATGCTCTCATCAGATAGTGTATTATGTACATGTGTTCAACTGCTCATTAATGTAAATATCTAATCACCCAAACACATGACAGCAACTCAATGCACTCTATGCATTTAGACATGGTTAAGATGACAACCGAGCATCAGAATGAGGAAGGAAGGTGATTTAAGGGACTTTGAATGTTGAATGATTGTTGTTGTCAGACAGGCTGCTCTGAATATTGTAGGAACTGATTATTTGTTGGGATTTCCCCACACGGGAGAGGATTATAAAGAATGACCAGAGAAAGAGAAAAATAGCCAGTGAGCAGTATAATGATCAGACTGGCTCAAGCTGACAGGGAAGGCGACAGAAACTCAAATAACAGTTTTTCAAATTCATAGTATGAAATAAAGCATCTCTGAATGCACAAAACATCATATCTTGAAGCAGACAGGCTACAGGAGCAGAAGACCGCATTGGGTGCTGCTTCTGCCAGCTAAGAACAGGAAACTGAGGCTACAATTTACATAAAACTTTCCCAAAGTCATGCAACAGAAGATGAAAAATGTTGTCTGGTCTCATAAATCTTTGTTTCTGCAGCAACATTCAGATGGTAGGCTCAGAATTTAGCATAAAAAACATGCAGGCATAGATCTATCCTGCTTCGTGTCAGTGGTTTATTCTACTGGTGGTGGTGTAATGTTGAGAATATTGGCACAGCTGAGCATCGCCTATCCCCTACCCAACCCTGTGGCTTGTCATGTCTGTCATAATGTTGTGCTGTGGCCATTCATGTGCTTTTTTTTGTGCAGAGGAGTTTTTTTGTTTCCTGTTCTCGTGCTGTCCTACCATGGAAGCACAGCATGAGTGGAGGTCTCTTTTTTTCCTCTTGTACCCTCCCGTTGTTGTGTACATTTCAGTGTTCTTTTCTGTAACGCTACCGATCTCCGACTTGTAACCCCATGTGATGTCTGTGTTATGTGTGTAAGGTCGGGGAGGGGGGTCCCATTTTCACTGCACGGCAACCTGCTTGTGACAAATAAAGCTTGATTGATTCTGATTCGTTTAAACACCACCTGAGCATTGTTGCTAACTGCATTCACCCTTTTATTGGCACATTTACTGATGGCTGCTTCCAGCAGGATAACACACCATGTCCCCCAGCTCATTTCATATCAAACTGGTTTCTTGAACATGACATCAGATATTAATCCAATAGAGCAGCTTTGGGATGTGATACAACAGAAGAGTCACATAATGGTTGAGCAACCAACTGAGTTGCTGTCATGTCAACTTGGACCAAAATCTCTGAGGACAGTTTCCGGCACCTTCTGACGTTGCACCATAACGAATTAAAACAGTTTGAAAGGTAAAAGGATCCAACATGGTACTAGCAAGGTGTATAATAAAGTTTCTGAGTTTGTAGGCATTGCTTCTTGAATTTTATACTGTTTACACTGTGTGGGTACTTGGTGATGAATGCATAAATGACTAATCATTTTAACTTTAAGTGAGATAAGAATGAGCTCAAATCTGTTTTTATCTGCCTTTGTCAGTCAGAAAGGGACCTCCTGCTGTACCAGAGCCAGGCCAAGCAGCTGTGCCGTAAACTGGACGCTCAGAGTCCAGAACGTTGTACCCTTGATACCGGGGACAAGAACTTTCAGTAAGATCACACATTTTGTTGATAATTTTGGTGAGGTTTAACTTGAGTCAAATATAACTAATGGTTAGGCCTCGTTTCAGTTTTTTAATATCCCAGGGTGTGTGTTACATTATCCTCTGCGAGGCTTCTTTTCCCAAAACGATGGCTTTTGAATACCTCGAAGACCTCAGCAAAGAGTTTTATGTCCAGTATGGAAAAAAAGTACCCACAGTATCCAGGCCCTACTCTTTCATAGAGTTTGGTAAGACTGAAGTCCAACATCTTTTATCACACAGAGACATGGCGCTAATCCCTGTAAACAAATAAAATGAACATTTTTATAGCATCTTACATCTTGTTCCAGACACATATATCCAAAAAGTGAATAAGCCACCTGTGTCGATCAAACTCCGGAAGACCTTGGCAAGTACTAAAAAAGAGCTGGAAGAGATTCAGAAAATAATGGCGGAAAATATTGCTGAAGTCATGCAGAGAGACCCTCTCTGTGGTAAGTGTAGCAGGCGTTGGTAACACATCCCATCAAATGGGAGGTGCTGATTCTATTCAGAATTATGTAGACAATTTGTTATTATTCCAATTTACAAATTACAATGTACATGTATTCAGAGATGTTCAGTTCATCCCAATGTTTCGATTTTATCCCCTCAGATATTGCCAAAAAAGTCAGCAACCTGAGCAGCTTTTCAAAAAGTTGTCGCAGCAACGCCAAAGATGTCAACACCTCCCCCGGCTATGCTAAGGCTGTAGCTGTGGCTGTGTTCATCACACTCATCATCTACATGCGTTTCTGGTGGCTCTGATAGACGCTGGGACAAGGACGTCTCCTCGACCGGCACCTAAACTAATCATACATTGTGTGCCATATACAGCCCACTTTGATGTGAAGTGAGCCGGACCAGTGATAAACATATAAAGTTACAGAATAGTTTCCTTTTTAGCCAACTTGCTTCACATTGGCTTTCCCTCATAAACAGGTTGGTGGAGCTTCTGGCAGCATTTCAGCACTGATGGAGAGTCCATGTAAGCATGTCCAGATGTTAGAGTCTTAAAACTGTGATGTTTGTAATTAAAGTTTAAACAAGTGTGAGAAAGTGTTATTAAAAATGTTGAATATTTACCAAGAAATCAATCTGTTTGAGTTTTATATATGACAGTTTATGTGAACATCATGAAGGTTGCAGGCCCTTTCTATATACACACAAAGAGGGTAAAATAAGTATTGAACACCTCACTAATTTTCTAAGTAAATATATTTCTAGCGGATCTATTGCTATGAAATTCTCACCATGTGTTGTTCAGTTTCCCCACACAGGAAGCATCTTGAAGCTGTAATCACCAACGAAGGCTTTTGTACAAAGCATTCAATTATTTTCAGTATGTACAACACTTTTCCCCCTCTGTCATTCCCATTACTACACATAATTTATGACCATCTGTGGTTTGATGTTCTTGTGTGGATTGGACAGGTTTTTACTGACATATGGTGGGAATTTCATGTCAGTAGCACCTTTAGAAATGTATTTACTTAGAAAATTGGTGACATGTTCAACACTTATTTTACACACTGTTTATACAGTGGTGTGGAAAAGTCTTTTATCCCATTCCTGGTTTTCTTTTTTGTATGTTTGTCATACTGAAATGTTTCAGATTGTCAAACAAATTTAAGTGTTAGACAAAGATAACACAAGCAAACACAAAATGCAGTTTCTAAATGAAGGTGGAGGGATTACCCTAAGAGCACAGCGACAACTCATACAAGAGATTACAAAAGACCACAAGAGACAGAACGACATCCAAAGAACTGCAGGCCTCACTTGTCTGAGTTCATAACTCAAGCATAAGAAAGAGACTGAGCAAAAATGGCATCCATGGCACAGTTGCAAGACGAAAACGAAGAACAGGAAACCAAACGAAAAGAAGCATCATGCCAACATTAAAATATGGCAGTAGTTGTGTGATGGTCTGCAGATTTTTTGCTGCCTCAGGACTGGAAGACTTGTGATAAATGGAACCATGACTTCCTTCTACCAAAACATCCTGAAGAAATATATCCAGCCATGTGTCCGTGACCTCAAGCTGAAGCACACTTGGGTTCTACAAGAGGACAATGATCCAAAACACACCAGTAAGTCCGCCTCTGAAAAACAAAATGAAGACTTTGGAGTGGCCCAGTCAGAGTCCTGACCTGAATCCGATTTTAAGATCATGAGTGGATGACCTTAAAAAGGCAGTTCATGGTGGAAAACCCTCCAGTGTGTCTGAGTTAGAACAATTCTGCAAGGATAAGTGGGCCAAAATTCCCCCACAGCGACGTGAAAGACTCATTGCAGTTGTTGCTTCTATGGCTGAGCCAACCAGTTATTAGGTTTAGGGGGCAATCACTTTTCACACAGGGCCATGTAGGTTTGGATTTTTTTCCACTTCACACTAAGCATTTAGGAACTGCACTTTGTGCTTACTTGTGTTATCTTTGTCTGATATTTACATTTGTTTGATACGAAACCCCCCCCCAGAATATCAGGAAGAGTACTGGTGATTCCCAAAATCATCTTTGATATGTTTGTTGTAACTTTTTATCCACCAGTATGCATAGGTGCATAAATATAACTAAACACATTTTCCAGTTCAATTTTACAAATAAAAATCAGAAAAAAATAGACGAGCACTTTATTTTGTGATAAAGATGTCAAATTACAGTTAATTACTTGCATTCCTGAACAAAAAATTCTGTTTTGAATGTTTGAGTGCATTTGCCTAATAAATAAAAATGTTTTGTTTGTCGTACTAAAAAGGTTTTTGTCAAATTTCTAAAATATTTGTAATTTGTTTTAGTACAAAGGGTCTAATAAATTTGTTAATCCCTGTATAGACAAACCAAGGAGCTCGTGTTTACACAAACACAGAACAAATAAGAAAAACAAAAAAGCGAGTCAGACCAGAGGCTAAGCTGCTCTTTATGATCCCCAAATGAACAAAGACGACAAAGGCTTACTGCTGTATTAAAGACGTACGTGTGTGTGTGTGTGTGTGTGTATGTGTATATATATGTGACATGATCTGCTAGTTCGAAAAGCTTTTTTATTTTTTAAAATTCGAGCTACGCATTGCCATTTGCCCTTCACACAATAAAACTGAGGGATGTTGGACACCAACAAGGACCATGACTTACAAAATAAACACGCTGTATTAACTAAGGCTGAGAACTGGTGACTGAGTCCATGAACGCATCAGGGAATCATTTATTGAGGTTACAAAAAGAGGGCGCTAAGAGGCATTTTCCTATAAACTTCTATAAAACTGGCAAACACCATAGTCGCCCCCTGCTGGTCATTAGAATAAATGTAGGTTTAGGGTATGCCCATCTTTTTAAAAAAAAGTTTACAAAATCTTGTGGTAGTGGCGTTTCTGCAGCTTTAGTGACAACAATACAGACTCACCTCAACTTTTACAATCAGTTATACTTGGACACTCACTGACACACATTTTACAGCTGCCGTTCAAATACAAGAGCTTCTGTCAAAGTGTGACAATAGTAAAATTCCTCTTTGTTCTCCGGACTGCTCGAGTAAGTCCTGGGTTCTGGGGACGCAGGAGCACTTTTCACTTTTTCCCCAGTTTACATAATAAAAGGAACCCACACTGTAGTTTTTCCTCAGCAAAGTAAAAAAAGCAGAGATCTTCTTTCCATCGCTCAGTGTGATGAATGACTTTGGGAGAACAGATTTATGCCATCATATCAAAGTCGTCCCGCTGCAAAAGAAACACAGTGATGAGCTTCAAGGCATCAGAATTCGGATTCAGTCCTGAAAACTGTCGATTTAAGTAACAGATAATCATTCGTAACTGAAATATGTACATACAAACTCTGACAAATCACTCACCTCTTCATTGTAATTCATCACGTGCTGCTTGATCTTCGAGGAGTCCACCCACGTGACGAAATCTTCCATATTTCTTACATTTAAAAAAGTTACAGTAATAGTGTCAGCATTTTCACATGTGCAGTATAGTGAAGCATCTGTGTCAAAGGCCCTCTGTGTTGGTAAAGATATTGTGAGAAGACTAAATACCCGGAGACCAACCTTGTGACTAGAAACGCTGGGTCTGTAACAATATCCGGGCCAACACGCACATCTGTGACTGAGTCAAGGACAACACTGAATCTGTTTTAATCCTTGAATGAAGACAAATCTGAAGTGTTAAGCATAACAATTTACAGTAACACAGCAGTCAAGGATACGCCCTTGTTCGATGAAAGTAATTGCCGTCTTCAGGTTCTGAGCCATACGAAGATTCAACATGATGCTGGGCAGCCGCCTCCTGCAGGAATCACACAGACAAAGTATACATAGAGGCTTGCATTTATACACAGCACTGTATAAAAGCCTCAAGCCACCGCTCATTTCTTTATATTTTGCTAGGAAGATGAGAAATACATGCAGAGATTTAATGAAACATGTCCAAACATGCATTGAAATACAGTATATAATAAACAGTCTGTACAATTCTAACAAACTTGAAACTCAAAATTTGACCACCTTCATGCTTCAACATAGCTTGCTTGTCATTTCTTTGTGTACAGGAATATTTCTCCTTGCTTCTGGAAGAACATTCAAAGCTCTTCCTTGGATGTTCGCTGACGTTTGTTCTGTTCTCTATCAAGATGATCACACACTGAGATCCAGACTCTGGGGAGGCCAATCAACGACTGATACTGTTGCATAGTGTGTTCTTCTATCCAGGTATGGATAGAAGCCTTGAATGGCAAATGAAGCCATTGCCAATCACCTGTTTTCCAAGTGGTACTGCATGGTGGATCAAAATCTGATGGTAGTTTTCTGTGTTCATAATTAAATGAAATTTGACAAGATCCCCAACACCACTGGCTGAAATGTAGCCTCAAAGCCAGGAGTGACAAAAGAGCCTTTATGCTTGAACAGTTCATAAGTCAGTTTTAAGTGGCTTAGCAAAACAAAATGATCAGGCACAAGCACTGGACTAAGAATGAGTGAAAAAGCAGCCAATCTCCAATAACGAACTTTCAGAAAGCCTGTAGAACTTTGCACAAGACCACTTTAAAAATTACATGAAATTCTGGTGCCTCAGAAGCAAAATATAAAAAATGAGGAGCACCTCCAGACTTTTCCACAGTACAGTACACTTTATGAGTTTAAGATATACACATAAATGTACCTGCAGAATGAAGAAGCTGTGACTTTCTCTGTGAGGGACAAATTCTGTCTGGTGGGGATGAGACCAATGCTGTATCTGAGGTGAAGGAAGAAAAAGATTCTCTGTGTAATATCAACAAAGGTTTAGAAAACAATAAACAACACAGCAATCAAAATCTGCTCAAAACCACACAGGAAACAAGCGCAGAGTTAAAAGATGTCAGCTTGAATTAACATTAAGAGGATTTTATCCATATTAAATAACTGTAATATCCAAAACCTTACAGTTTTTCCAGTAATTGATGTGTGCTCTGTGCTCTGAAGCCATCTTTCTCATCCAGGTCTCTGATTTTTCTGGCCAGGTCTCTGACATTCCGACTAAGCTTGTTGTACCTGAGACACAGGAGGAAAAAATGGTGTCTGTGTGATTTGTAAATATCAGCTGAAATATGGTATAAAAATGTGTTTATACGTCTATACAGTGTAAATAACCGATGCTAAAAGCTAGCTAGCGGCCACAGACTCACTTGGTGTAGTCCTCCCTTTTCTCGATGTGATACTTCCGCAACACCTTGACCTCGTGCAGGTTGTTGTCTACCTCCCAGTTGATGAAGTCGACCTTCTTCAACAACTTCTGTTCGTGATACTTTAATTTACGAACCATTTTCACAGCGTTTCACGCCACTTCTGGAGAAACAGGAAGCACGTGCTGTTATTTTTCTTCTTCGTCATCGAGAACTGAAGGTGGTGGCCCGCAACAGCGCCCCCACCCCGCAACCTAACAAAACACGGTAGCACAGATGATAAATCTGTGCTACCGTGTTTTATTGTAACAGAAACCTCGTGGTTTTTTAAAATAATAATTTTTAATACTAATGTAATCGTAATCGTTTGCTTACTCACAAATATCAAATGTGATTGGAAAGTCACTCTAGGTTGTTATTATTAGAGTTATAGATAAATACAGACCATTTACCATTTATTTACCATTTGTAGAAATAACAGTAATTAAAGAATAAATGTACTTATGTAGCAAATCTGTTTTAAAGCAAGTTCCTTCGATGTATGAATTTTTAAATTACTGATAATATCTGAATTCTTTTTTTTTTTACAGCCCAGTAAATGTTAACAGATAGCTCTTGAATCAGAGGGGAATTGAAGTGCTTTAAATAACTATTCCAGCGAAATATGGTGTAAAGCTGTGCATGTGAATATCGTTTTAGTGATTAGCCTTTGTTAGGGGTATTTATTACATTTTATTATGTATATTTAAAAAATATGTTACATATGTTGAGGACAAAAGAGGGGCCTTTGGTGTGAAACTGTTCCCCCTTCGGTGTATTCTTGTTTACTTTGTCATATTTCGGCAGGTGTCACCAAACTTCTAAACTGAGTCCTTCTCAGCTACACGTGGGTTCATTCATTGAGTGTAGCCTCCAGAGGAGGAGGCACCGCGTTTGCTATATGCGTAAAAATCAAAAGCGTGCCGTGAATTACAGCTGAGACAGCTATGCTGACTGTTAGTTTAGCGCCATGAGAGTCAATCTTTAGTAAAGAGAAAGCGAGGACAGGACCATCAAGAGTGCGGGCGCCCACATCCTGTCATCTACACCCTAAGCTTAGCTCCAGACCCACAGGTAAGTTTCACCGAGATAAGAATTTGCTGTTTAAAAAAGCCTGTTAAACATCCGATTGTCTGCGGAGACATCTTTTGTGGCTAACTTTAACAGTGAACACCTTCTGCTTCCTTTTTAAATCTGTGAAGATGCCTTCAGAGACACCGTGTTTCACTATCAGCAACATTTGGGGGAACCATAACCAGCACATACGTCTTTAATTAAACAACGGGGCATTCACTCACTCTAACTTTCACACCTTCCCTTCACATGTGGGTTTGCCCTTCAACAGGTCCGCATCCTTACGAGTGTGATGTTTGCTCAGCTTAACTACCGCCAAACAAATACGTCAAAGTTTTCTGGTGATGGAGGTCAGCTCTGCTCCACGTCACTATATGTAATATTACTCCTTTTCTCAAGATATCAGCAGAGCAAAGCTCCACTTTAGACTTCATTTCTTCACACTGACTTGGAAGTTCTGCCAGTGCTGTGCTACCCTGTCCTGTTGTAGTGAATTCTCTGAAAATCTAAAAGCCCCCAAATGTGGCACAACGTCTCCAAACACTGTCCCTTTGAGTCCGGGTTTATGCGCTTGAGCGGGAGTAGTGCGTTGGCAGTTTCGGATTTCCCGTGAGCGTGCGGAGAGCGTTTGTTGTCTATCAGCTTCAGAATCAAATACGCGGAATAACCGGTTTGTGGGTCACTCTTCCTGGTGCTGTTGTCGGCCTGCCCGTCAGTCCCTGAAGTGGGAGCGAGTGCTGAAAGGAATTAAAAGTGTCCACCGTCTGTGCTTTTTCGTGTTTTATTTTTTATGATTCTTGCTTCTCCCGTTTCCGGTGAACTCCGCTGTCGCTCCTTTCCGGCCCACTCATCAACCAATCAGCACTCAGACAGGCAAGCAGACGCAAAGATCATTCGCATCCAGAACTGTGCGTTTGAGATATTCGCCCCCAAACGAAAAAGCGCACGCACGTCTTAAACTGATAATGTGTCTTGAAAAAGTTAAAAAGTGTAAACAGCTCAGTTTGTAACTTGATCTCAATGCTGAGCTGAACCTAACTGTTGAGTGACAGCTTGATACTCAGTGATACTCAATGAGATGCTCTCTATGGCAGAGAAGAGCTGTTTATAAACTCATTTCAAGGAGCTGGCAAAAGATTTCCTGTTCTCTAGTGTGAATCTGCGTGGGTTGTTGATAAGTCTGTGACAAATTAATGTTGATGTCTCATTATTCTGTTGCAGATAACTTTAAATATCAATTTTTTTTTACTGTAGGAAATGTGTTTCATTAATGAATTTGTATTTCTAAATAGTCTCATCTACTGTATATTTACCAGCTGTGATAGCAGTGTTGGTCTTTTCACATTCCCAATCTGCATGTGTGCTAAAGCACTTAAAACTTCCTGGTGTACTTCCTGTTACAGTAGCTGTCACCAGGGTATCATGAGTCACGGGTACTCTGACATGTGTTTACAGTACTGTACAAAAGTCTTGAGTCACTGCCCATTTCTATAATTTTTTTCTATATATTTGCAGAGTTCATTCTAACTTTTAAAGGGGCCTTGAACAGCAGACCTCCAGGCTTTCTAAGGTCTTTCAACATCCATCTTTTTATTTTCAGAGAAACTGGTTTGTTAAGTCATTTTACACTGACCTATGCATGATTCAAGCATAAAGAGGCACCTAAGTTTAAGGATGAACCAGTGTTGTATCTACACAAAACAGATAACGTAGAAAAGAACCAACTTTAAATTGTATCTTTAGGCATCCCCTTTTAAGAAAAGTCAACATTTTTAATTGAATCAGTGAAAAACACCACAAATAGCAGAGTTTGACAGAAATAAAATAATATTTTTGTACCAATAAGGTGATTCCCAAAGAACTATAAGCTGAAAACATGGGATATCTCAACATCGTGTACAGTGTGTTCTTAGAAAAATGTGAGACGATCAAACAAGTGGAGGACAAGGGAAAAAGCATCTGCCCTGAAAAACTATCTACCGCAGATCATCAGTATCTGAGATTCATGTCCTTAAGAACTAGGAAAATCCAGCAAAGACCTCAAACAGGACCTGCAAGATGCATCTGGCCCTTCAGCTGATCCTACTGTTCACTGAAGCCTCATCAGTAACATTTAAATATTTGATTTAAATGATCATCAAGGAGGAGAAGGTCTGAAGACACTGTAAGGCTCTGTTGGGAGTAAAGCTAGTTAGAAGTGTACAAGCTCTCTTTTTGCCTTATATGTTGTATGTTCAGTTTGCATCTTTCAATAAATAGTTGGCCCTAGTTCCCATTTTCTATATAAAACACAAAAAATTAAGTGTGACTCGAGAATTTTGCACAGTACTGTAAGTATGTCTGTGGGCAGAATTTCCAACTCCTCCAAACTGCAAAGCAAAATGCAATCAGAAAGATTTACAGGTGTGTAGTATTGGTCAGAATAAAAGTGACGTCTGAAGGTTGGTAGGGTCTGAGTCACTCTTTGCCTCAGTCTCCAATTCTTTATCATTCCTTATGTATTTGTATTCATGTATTTATTGCCCTCCATATGAGATGTAGATACAACGTTACAAAGATAAACATGGTCCAGATCCATCGTAGGGGTAGCGCAGAGAGACAGGTAACAATTTAAGCTGATATTCATGAAGCACCTAGAAAACATGCAAATTTAATTCAAAGAGGCTTGAGCCAACCAGCTGTTTCACAACCAGAACCTTCCTGCTGCTGCGAGGCGACAGCGCTAACCACTGCACCACCAGCCAGCAGATCAATATTATTTGCACGTAGCAAAATGCCGGAAAGGTGAACTGTTCATGGTAATTACATTATAGTTTTGTCTAAGTCATTCAAATATTCGAATTAAAATTAATATGACTTAGTGGAGAATAGTTTTCTTTATCTAGGTAAAAGTTTGCCTTTAAATTGGTTTGCATATAGAAATATAACCTTTCTTTACATCTTTTAAACCTTGAGCTGTAACAGTGAGACATTTTTAAGGTTGTAATACTAATGATGTTACTAATTTGAACGTGACACAATCACATACTGTATACTGTCCATTTTCTTTTCATTCATATGTAGGTTAAGCGTGAGCATATTTACATCTGTAATATTCGGGCTGCAGTGGTTAGCATCGTCACCGCACAGCAACATGGTCCTGGGTTTGAATGCACCAGCTAGCTGGTGCTCTTTTGTGTAGAGTTTGCACACTCTCCCATGTCTGGGTGGGTTCTCTCCAGGTACTTCCTCCCACACTCTGACGACATGCATGTTAGCTTTAGTGATTCTAAAGTGGCCATAGATGTCATCGGGAGTGTGAAGAGGACCATCACTTAAGAAAATGGATGGATGGACGTGAATAAGCAAGAACACAGATGACACTACCTAAAAAAAAAAGTTTGAAATATAGTTGGAGAGAGTTGGCAGAGTGTGTTGGGTGTAGACACTGCAGGCTGTAAGGAGGGCACTCACGCACACACTGACACACACAGAAACAGAGAGGGACTGTGCAGCCGTGCCCCTCTGCTAAGCAGAGCTCCTACATAAAGAGGTCACTGTGCTGAAAACATAGCACCTCCTTCTCTGCCACCACTTCAAGGCGTTCATCTTGGCTAGTTGTACATCCCTTTTTGAAAAAACTAAATAGAATTTTTAAACTAAATCCCTGTTCAAATACAACACATATAAATGCTTCACAGCATAACAGAGTCACAAGTTTGCTCTGACATTACTTTTGCTCGAGGTCCGTTTGTTTGAGATGATGTCATGAATCAGTAAGAACAAGAAGGAACTGCAAACTGTGCGTGAGTCAGATTCGGTGTGCGTAATTGTCTGAAGACAGTGGAGAAACAGAGGCCTCGCTGTTAACAGGGATTAACTAATAATCGTGCTGTGCAAACAGTCCACCTGAGCCGATCCCACACTTTCACCTTGTGAGAAAATGAGCAGTTCCTCCTACTACTTGAAGGTGAGCTGACTCTGTGAGTCTTGTGATGAAGGCAAGTGGACGATGCCTCAATTTGGAAATAAAAGATAAAAGAATGAGGACTGTTTCTCTTCAGACGCCCCAGATGCCAGAGTCAGGAGACGGGTTAGTAATTGTCTCATCACTGTCAGCTAAAGGTTCACACTTGTTTAATTCACTCATGTATAAAATCCTTCCTAATTTTAAATTATTTATTTAAATTTTAGGACTTTACAATTTGCTGTGCTTTTTCATCTTTAAGCCACAAACCTCTGACAAGTTTAGACGAGAAATGATTTGTATTTTTTTATAAATGACACCTGTGACAGCTGCCATCGAATGTTATTAGAATTCTGGTGCGAGTGTGGATAAGTAGTGCACAGCTATGTCATTAGCCAGGGTAGATGGAGGCTATGGTTTTCCAGCTGGTCGTGTAACAGTTTCAGCAATGGTTGACCGACACGTTCCTCTCCTGCACTAAATCTGCACTTGTCTTGCTGGAGGACAGATTTCCAATAACAAGACAAAGGAAAGGTGACAGCTGTTTCCGACATGTTCCCCATTACTTTTTATTGTTAGACTGTGTCTGTGAAGGACCAGTCACAGCCTGTTAATCCTCAGTCTCTTCCACTGTTTTCTCGTGCATTTCTGCAACTTCTTAAGTGTTCGAGGCAGAAGTCAATTTCTAGCTCAAGGACACTGCAGCAGCCTTGCTCAGCGTGTCAGGACGCTCTCTGTGAGTCCTTATGTTTGTGTGAACAAGCTGAATGAACCTTTCAGTTCACTCTTCTTTTTTTCATTTTCTTCCTGTCCACCCTAAAAGGCTCCTTCACTGTCTCTCTGCAGAGTCGAACATTCCTCCACAATGGCGCTTTCCTCCAGGCTAAAATACGTGTCTCTGGGGGTTCTGGTGCTGCAAACCACCCTGCTGGTTCTCACCATGCGCTACTCCCGTACCCTGAAGGAGAACGGTCCTCGCTACCTCGCCTCCTCTGCCGTAGTGTCAGCTGAAGTGCTCAAGATTTTTATGTGCACTCTCCTCATCTTCAGTGAGAACAGTGAGTAAGGAGGAAAATCAGTTTTGGATCCTACTTGGGTAGAAAATCCCCAGTCTAGTTAATAAACTTCATAGGTTGAAAAGTACCCCACATGATTTAGCAGGTTGCAGAACCACCTTTAACAGCACGAACTTGTAGCACTCGTTTTCTAAATTACTGACAGCGCTCTCTCTGTTTCTCTTAGATTTTAGCTTGACGGCAATGTACGAGCTGCTGAACAAGGAGATTCTGAACAAGCCCGTGGAGCTCGTGAAGCTGGCCGTTCCTGCAGGGATCTACACTCTGCAGAACAATCTGCTCTATGTTGCCCTGTCCAACCTGGACGCAGCCACCTATCAGGTTACATACAAATGAATGAATGTGCTTGTTCAAGCTCACTGAGTTTGTGTGCGTGAACTGGTTTCTTTATGGTTTCACATGGCTGGTTTGTATTGTGTACATTTCTGCATTCACAGTGTACAGTGGATATCCTGGTAAATATTTACATAAATCTATCTCACAGATGTCATCTGTTCTAATCTCATAAGGCTTGTTTGATTAATTTAAGTGGTACTAAAGCTATACCCTCTGCTATATTCTGTAAATATTAAAGAGGAAAATGCTAGTTATTGAGTTTTGGAACACTGGAAAAAATCATAAAACATATAAAATATGTTTGTTTAAATTAAAGCTTCACATCCCTCATTTCTAAAATGATATTTTTTATAAATAACATTTATAATTGGATGTGAACAAACTCTATAGTGATCTAAAAAAAAACAATAAACCAAAAAAACATACTTTGGAAAACAATTCAAACTGACTGAAACTGTTTTGTGAACTTGGAAAATTAATTTAAAAAATAATTTAAAAAAAATACAGACGACTAGCTGGTAAAAAGGCCATGTTCACTTTTCTTCTTTGTCACAAAGTAACCATTTTCAAATGAACACCAAGATTTATACGTTCATGACATCCAGTTCCAGTTTCTGTCCTTTTTCGCATATACGCAGTTCTTTACATAAATGAATAACGCAATAACATTTTTAAGTAGAATTGTGAGACTATTATTACCCAATTAATAATACTACCCATTTGTCCTTGAGCGCTAAAAAACCTGAAGAAGAAAGTGAATAAGAGGCACTTGGGAACATTTCAGATCATCCTTTTAACAGCAACTCAGTGACAAAAATCTTGCAAATGAAGCTGTCCCAATAGGAATGAAGCACAACAAGTTCAATGTTTATTTCCGGAGTGCAAACATGTGTCCTCTTATCTATCACAGAGAGGATTCTTAGAAATGGCGTGTCTCTTCCATTTTTAAACAGATCTGTCCTGACCCCTGCACAGTGGGCTGCTGAATGAAAGGCATCAAAGTACAGATGAAGAATTAGAATACAGTAGATCTTCCAAAAGAACGAGAAGTAGCTGGAAAGAAGATTTCTGGATATGAATGCATTTTCTGTAACTGTGGCATTTCTATACTACCCATTATTGTGTGCTAAATAATAAATAAATAAAGTTTGTGTTTGTAACACTCTGAAAAATGCGATATGCTTTGAAGAGCACAATAAAAGATAGGAAAATATGACTGTAGCATGAAATATAATTGTGGACACAGTCAAAATGAAAAAGTAAGAGTGTAAATAACAAGAAAAATTAAATATGGCAGAGAAGAAATCGAAAGCAACAGGATGTTATTTAAGAAAAAGAAGGAGCATAGGTAGCAACTTGATCAACTCTACTGTAACTCAGACTGTAGCCAGTACTGTATCAATTTTTATGTGCTGTAGTGAGGATGGGAGTAATCCATCATTTACTTAAAGCATCACTTGTGTTTTTGTGTCTAACAGGTCACGTACCAGTTGAAGATCCTCACCACAGCTTTGTTCTCTGTCTCCATGCTCGGGAAAAAGTTAGGCAGCTACCAGTGGCTCTCCCTGCTCTTCCTCATGGCCGGGGTCACTCTGGTGCAGGTAACAGCGCTCGCCGTCACCACAATTATTACTAATGTTTCATTTCTACCTTTCTAATGGTTTTTTTGGAGTCTCAGTGTATTCATGTGCTTTGATAAAAGCCTATGCCTTTGCACACGCTCATCAGTGTTTCAACCTTCACAGTTGCCCGTCGAGTCTCTGGGTGACTCTGAACAGAATGTAATGTCTGCAAGCTCCCAGTTTGTGGGCCTGATCGCTGTGCTGATGGCCTGTGTGTCCAGTGGTTTTGCTGGAGTTTACTTTGAGAAGATCCTCAAAGAGACAAGCCAGAGTCTGTGGCTTCGTAATATACAGCTGGGTGAGTGGCTATACCTCCATTTATATGACAGGCTGAGCGAGGAATGTATGGTTCCTTACAAACAAACGTTTTCTCAGAAAGTTATGCAGTTCCTGTGAAAGTACACCGCATGATTTAGCAGCTTGCAAGAACTTGTAGCACTTGTTTTTAAAATGACTTTATCAGTCACTCACATTGTTGCAGAGTTACTTTTACTCTGTCTTACAGTGAGGTTTGCAGACAGTCATTTGTGCACAGCTCCCGCAGCACTTCAGGCAGGTTGAGGTCTGGACTTCTTTTATTTTTCAGCTGTTCTGCTGTAGATTCGCTGCTGCGCTAGGGATCATTTAGCTGTCAGACAGATGGGGTTGCATTTGACTCTAGAATACTGTGGTATGTAGAGGATTTCATGGTCGGCTTAATGACTACAATGTATCCAATAATAACATGACTCTAAGTAAAACTAAAGAGAGACTATTATAAGAAATTCAGTGCAAAATTAAATAAGAGCTGTAAGCATGAAAAATGGTGCAACATGCAAGACTTCTCTGTATCTAATTTAACATCATCTAACTGTTGACATTCAGTCAGGGAAAATCTCATTTTATACCAGGGGTTTCTGCAGAGTTTGGACAGCATTTCGTTTACAAGCCTCAGGCTCCATTTGTAAGTTAATGTGCTAACAGAAGGACATGTTATACCTACATACCTACAATACCTACAACCACGATTACCGACACTAACAAGCTGATCTACAGTACGGCAGCAGTGATCAGTGAGATGCTTGGCTACAAGTTGAACAGCCACAAGGGGCAGTACCCTCCATGGAGAAGGAGGCTAGAGGGCAAGATCAAAGTAGCACGGAGGGAGGTTAGCCAACTAACGGAGTTGCAGAAAGGTGCGACAAAGAAGGTGCATAAGAAATACAGCAAGCTGTCCATACCTGAGGCCTTGGAAACTTTCAAGCAAAGACTCACAGCCTTGGCCAGCCGCTTGAGGAGGTACACCAGAGAGATAGAAGGCAGGAGAATAAACCAGCTGTTTTCCACAGAACCAGCAAAGGTGTACTCTCAGTGGCAAGGGAACAATAATAATAAGAGAACAGCACCACCAAGGCTGGAGACGGAGCAATACTGGAAGAGCATATGGGAGAAGGACGCAACCCATAACGGCAATGCTCAGTGGCTAGTGGATCTGAGGGCAGACCACAGCGACCTCCCTGAACAGGGTCCAGTAACCATCACAGTGGCAGATATCCAAGAAAGGGTCTCCAGTATGAAGAGTTGGACAGCACCAGGGCCCGACATGGTTCACGCCTACTGGCTAAAGAAGCTGACTGCACTCCACGAGCGTCTGGCAGCACAAATGAACCAGCTGCTAGTTAACGAGAGACACCCGGAATGGCTAACCGAAGGTCGGACGGTCCTGATCCCCAAGGACCCCAAGAAGGGACCGGTCCCCTCCAACTACCGACCAATAACCTGCCTCAGTACTACATGGAAGCTCCTGTCAGGCATCATATCGGCTAAGATGAACAGGCACATGGGTCAATACATGAGCGGGACACAGAAAGGAATTGGCAAGAATACCAGAGGCGCAAAACACCAGCTACTGGTAGACAGAACAATCAGCCGAGACTGCAAGACCAGACTGACCAACCTGTGCACTGCCTGGATTGATTACAAGAAGGCCTATGACTCAATGCCCCACAGCTGGATACTGGAATGCCTAGAATTGTACAAGATCAATGGGACCCTAAGAGCCTTCATCAGGAACTCAATGGGGATGTGGCGTACAACACTAGAGGCCAACTCCAAGCCCATAGCACAAGTCACCATCAAGTGCGGGATCTACCAAGGAGATGCTCTGTCCCCACTGCTGTTCTGCATAGGCCTGAACCCCCTCAGTGAGATCATTGACAAGACTGGCTAAAGATACCGACAACAGAACGGAGCAGTTGTCAGCCGCCTCCTGTACATGGATGACATCAAGCTGTATGCCAAGAGTGAACGAGACATCGATTCACTGATCCACACTACCAGGCTATACAGCAATGACATTGGAATGTCGTTCGGACTGGAGAAGTGTAGTCGGATGGTAACAAAGAGAGGGAAGGTAGTCAGAACTGAGAGGATTGAACTACCAGAAGGCAACATTGCAGACATAGAGGACAGTTACAAGTACCTGGGGATCCCACAGGCAAATGGAAACCATGAAGAGGCTGCTAGGAAAGCTGCAACCACCAAGTACCTGCAGAGGGTCAGGCAAGTCCTGCGGAGTCAGCTGAATGGTAAGAACAAGATCCGGGCCATCAACACCTACGCCCTGCCCGTGATCAGGTACCCTGCTGGGGTAATAGGCTGGCCAAAGGAGGAGATAGAAGCCACTGACATAAAGACAAGAAAGCTCCTTACCATGCATGGAGGGTTTCACCCCAAGTCCAGCACCCTGAGGCTGTACGCTAAGCGGAAGGAAGGGGGCCGGGGACTGGTGAGTGTCAGCACCACAGTCCAGGATGAGACAACGAACATCCAAGAATACATTGGGAAGATGGCCCCAACTGACCGAGTGCTCAGTGAATACCTCAGGCAGCAGAAACCCAAGAAAGAGGAGGGAGACGAGGAACCATCATGGAAGGACAGGCCCCTGCACGGTACGTACCACCGGCAGATAGAGGAGGTGGCTGATATCCAGAAATCCTACCAGTGGCTGGACAAAGCTGGACTGAAAGACAGCACAGAGGCACTAATCATGGCAGCTCAAGAACAAGCTCTGAGCACAAGATCCATAGAGGCTGGGGTCTATCACACCAGGCAAGACCCCAGGTGCAGGCTGTGTAAAGATGCCCCAGAGACAATCCAGCACATAACACCAGGGTGCAAGATGCTAGCAGGCAAGGCATACATGGAACGCCATAACCAAGTGGCCGGCATAGTGTACAGGAACATCTGTGCCGAGTACAACCTGGAAGTCCCGAGGTCAAAATGGGAGATGCCCCAAAGGGTGGTGGAGAATGACCGAGCTAAGATCCTGTGGGACTTCCAGATACAGACGGACAAAATGGTGGTGGCTAACCAACCGGACATAGTGGTGGTAGACAAACAGAAGAAGACGGCCGTAGTGATCGATGTAGCGGTTCCGAATGACAGCAATATCAGGAAGAAGGAACACGAGAAGCTGGAGAAATACCAAGGGCTCAGAGAAGAGCTCGAGAGGATGTGGAGGGTGAAGGTAACAGTGGTCCCCGTGGTAATCGGAGCACTAGGTGCGGTGACTCCCAAGCTAGGCGAGTGGCTCCAGCAGATCCCGGGAATAACATCGGAGATCTCTGTCCAGAAGAGCGCAGTCCTGGGAACAGCTAAGATACTGCGCAGGACCCTCAAGCTCCCAGGCCTCTGGTAGAGGACCCGAGCTTGAAGGATAAACCGCCCGCAGGGGCGTGCTGGGTGTTTATATATATATATATATACATATGTATGTGTGTGTGTGTGTGTGTGTGTGTGTGTGTGTGTGTGTATATATATGTATATATACATATATATACATATATGTATATATACATATATATACACATATATGTATATATACATATATATACATATATACCTTTGTACAAGCACAACGTTAGACTGATTTGGTGATTTGGCAAGTAAAACTGTTCTTGGCATATGGATGTGAGTTTCTTGGGATATTTTGTTCTATGTGTATAACAATAAAGATTGAACTGAGGAGGTGCACATTCAAGGTGAGTTTATGGGCTGTATATTGATAAAACTTGATGGTATCTTAGGACTGCAGTCTGCTTTAAGACAGCATGGCTATGGCTCATTTCCTTTTGTTCTTCTTGCCTTATATTGCTCCTTAGTTAAAACACCACCTTTGTCTTACTTGTCCCAGCAAGGACCTGATCTTTATCACTTTCTCTTGTCTCTTTCAGGTTTGTTCAGCTTTGTGTTTGGCTTGACAGGCATGGTGGTGTATGATGGCGAAAGCTTGAAGCAGGAGGGGATTTTCCAGGGATACAACACTATTACCTGCATAGTTGTCGTCTTACAGGTTGCGCCATCGTGTTTCACTACAGTACATCATTTGACTTCCATGAGTTTTATGGCAGTCTTTGTGGAGTTGTTCATGTCTGCCTTTGTGTTGTTTGCATGTCTTCAGGCTCTCGGCGGGCTGATCGTGGCTGTAGTCATTAAATATGCTGACAACATCCTCAAAGGATTTGCCACCTCTCTATCAATCATGGTGTCTACACTCATGTCGTATTTCCTGTTGAAGGACTTTAATCCCACAAGGTAAACACAAGCGCGCTTATGCACAATAAAAAAAATATTAATTTGCTAACACTTTATCAGTGGAAAACATGATATTCTTGAGGGTTTTTTTTTTTTTTTTTAGATCTAGCAGCTTTACTACAGGCTGAAATACATTTAGGTCCTTAAGTTTCTGACAAAGAAACTTTGTTTGTAATTTTGCCTCTTGCCTCCACCACAGTCTATTTTACAGAAAACAATCATGATTTAAAATCCACTGTGGTGGTGTAACGAGGCGTGCTATTAAAAACTATCATTATCCAAAAACTTTTGGACCTACCTGTGTGTCAGCAATTGACACTGATTATCAGGAAACCAGTTAAAACAGAATCCAGATGTCTTTTAACAGTCACCTGACTGCGCTGACCACCTTCACATTTGTGGATTTTCATCAGGTTTTGTGTTGATTAAAAAATAGTTCTTCCATCACAAACTCCAGTTTAGCGTTTTTGGTTTTAACTAATAAAAATCTGCCTTATTTTAATACTAATCAGCAAGTCTTTGCTTCCAAACATGTTAAACTGTGCAGTGAAAAGTTTTTGCCACCTTCCTGATTTTGTAGTTTTTTGCATATTTGTTAAATTTAGATGTTTCAGATCATCAAACAAATTTTAGAATTAGAAAAGATAAGCCAAGTAAATAACTGGGTTAGTTATTAAAACGTAATAAGTGGCTGTGCCGCCTTCGGCAGAAGCAATCTGCAAGGACTGCAAGACATGGTGATGCCGCATAAGCCGAGAAACCTTGAGCTTCAGGGCATAAACTCATGGCCGGAGATTCTTCTTCAGGATTTTATGGTACAGAGCAGAATTCATGGTTCCATCAGGGAACAGCAAGTTGTCCAATTCCTGAAGCAGAAAAACAGCCCCCGAACATCACCACCATGTTTGACTGCTGGTATGAAATTCTTTTAGGAGATGCATGTAACAGGAATGAAAGCTTCCAAGAAGTTCACCTTTCGTCTCGTCACAGAATATTTTCTAAAAAGTCTTGGGAGTCATCAAGATATTTTTGGTAAATATAATATGAGTCTTTATGTTCTTTTGGCCAGCACTGGTTCTTGCCTTAGACTCTCACACTGATGCTATTTTTGCACAGTCTCTTTGGAGACTCTTGTGGAGTGACTTTAAGTCAGACAAGTTAGGCCTGCAGTTCTTTTTGACCAGGGGTAGGCTACTCCGGGCCTCAAGTGTCGGTGTCCTGCACGTTTTAGATGTGTCCTTGATCCAACACAGCTGATTTAAATGGCTAAATTACCCCCTCAACATGTCTTGAAGTTCTCCAGAGGCCTGGCACTAAACTAATCATTAAAACCTGCAGGACACCAGCACTTGAGGCCTGGAGTTGTTTAACTCTGCTTTAGATGGTCTTCTAGGTTCATTTGTGACCGTTGATCATCTTGGAGTAATTTTGGTAGGATAACTGCTGCTGAGAAGATTCACCACTGTTGTAAGTTTTCTGCATTTGTGGATAATGATTCTCACCGTGGTTCACTGAAGTTCTAAAGCCTTAGAAATGGCTTTGTAACCCCTTTCCAGACTAATAGATGACTTTTTGAGATCTTTTAGCCTACTTCACTTCACCATCCAGCTTCTGTTTAAGGGATTTCTCAATTCAGCTGGTCTGGCAGTAATCAGGCCTGCGTGTGATGAATATACTGAACATGTCAGCTTTCCAAAAACAATGTGGAAAATCAGAATTAAGTCACGTCATAACATAACAAGAAAGAAATCCTGAAGAGGGCAACTACTGTTTCGCTATCTTCTAATCAGCAGCAATGTTTTTGAAAGGCACTGTATTCAAAATCTTGGCAAAGCTCCACACAGAACTAGTAATAGTAACAGTGATAACTGTCATACACACAAGTTGCCTCACGTGTTGTGCTTCCAACTTAATGCATTTTCTTTTTCTCTGTGTCTCTCAGCGTATTTTTTCTAGGTGCAGTGCTGGTTATTGCTGCCACATTTCTTTACGGCTATGAGCAGAAACCTGCCAGCAGCAGCACCAACAAAGTGTAATCAGAGACTTGCGTGAATTGTGGCTCTACGAACTGTGACCAGGAATTTGCCACATGAATAATTTCATTACAGAAAAAGTAAAGACAAGTTACTGGGAAATACAGTCTTTTGGAAGTGGGCCTTCTCTGAAAAAGTGCAAAATGGATGTTAGCAGTGACTCATGTGAAAGCTATTGTTTTGAGCATGTCAGGTAAACTTAACACTACAGAAAAGAAAACGGCGTAAGGCGAACAGGAGGACATGATAAGCAAACCATATCCTTGCTGGCAAACTAATGTGAAACTAGTTCACGTGTGTCAGTATTAGAACTGTGACGTTCCACCTCAGGAGGTACAGATGCTACATTTAAGCTTTGGGTTGCTAAAGAATTGTAATTTTAAAATGATCACGTCTTTTGAAGAAGTGGCACATAATTTTAGTGCAAATGGAAAGTCCAGCCATCCATTCACTTCCGCTTATCCTTTTCAGGGTCGCGGGGGCAAATGGAAAGTGTTTCTTTAGATATCAGCAGAGAAGTTTTGAAAAAGCACAACAGCATATTGCACTTACTAGATCCCCACAAGCACGTGCTAAAATAATAATAACAAAGGAGCGCGTCGTATCAGATTTTTATAATCTGTCTGGATCCTCCACCACATTGCCAAGGTGCTCTACTGGAGGCTGTTTGAGTACAGCGAGCTCTCATGTTCAAACAAACAGTTTGACATGATTTGCGCTTCATGATAGGGTCGATTATCTTGTTGGAAGCATCAGAAGATGGGTCGTAAAGGGATAGACAGGTTTAGCAACAATACTCAGGGCTGTCATACATACAAGGGCTTGTGTTCTGCTTAAAGCGTGCCAGGAAAATACCTCTAAAACTATCATGTATTAACTGTAACCCCAGTTTCTTAGCTGACAGCAGGTTCGATGTGTTATGCATTCAGAGATGCTCTTCTCCCTACCTTGACTGTAACAAGTGTTTATTCGAGTCGCTGTTGTCTTCCTGTCATTTCAAAGCAGTCTGATCATTCTCCTCTGAACTCAACAAGGCATTTTCACTACTGTGCACAGTTTTCTTACCTGTTTGGATCATTCTTTATGAACTGTAGAGATAGTTGTGTGTAAAAATAAACCAGCAGTTTCTGAATTACTCAGACCAGCCTGTGCAAAGTCAATGAAATCACTGTACTTCCACATTCTCACACTCAGTTTTCAGCATCTCATCCTGAATATGTCTACATGTCCTAATGAGCAGAGTTGCTGCGATGTGATTGGATGATCGTAGATATCCAACGAGCAGTCTGACAGGTGTACCTAATGAAGCTGCCGCTGAGTGTACGCTTAAGATGGGTTACATTTAACATATTCCAGACACTGCCAAGCACGTAGAAAAATTAAAACATGTTGCGAAGCGGTCAGACTGACTTCATCTTTTTTTGTTGTTTTTTTTGTTTCATACAGAACAACATATATATGGCAAACAATAAAGAACCTCAGTCATAAACCAGATGTTACATGCTGGATAAGACAGATAACGTCTTCGTTCAGAAACAAACAAACAAACCAAAGCATATATTGTAAATCACAAAGAAAAAACATTTGGGCACTTTGGGACCTTTCGTAAACTTTCTATAAGTCAGTCATTTAGTCTGTTTAAATAACCAGTTCTTGTCGTCCATGTGGTGTTCAGTTTGTTTTGAAGGGGCAAAAACATTTTTATTTCCTATGCTTGAACATTTTTTCTGAAAGGGCAAAAGAGCTGTTTGTATTATCAGTACGAGGAGCTCGTGTGGTTTTTGGTACTTTTCTTTCTTTCTTTGACATTAGTGGGAGGTTTTCTAAGTAATAATAAAAACATTGTTTGGGAACGAAAGAACTGCGATAAGAAATACTGTGTATTCATTTACAAAGCAAACGGGAGGCGAATCCTTGACAGCACTTCCATCTAGTGGTGGAAGGAGGAGTAAACGTGCTGCAAAGAGGAGGGGTTACCTCTGTCCAAAGATGCTGAATGTCCTTTTTTCCCTTTTTAAAAAAAAATAAGAGATGAAATTTCACATAAAACTGAAACGACTGCTTTGACCTTGCTACTCACAGTCTGAACATGTATATCAAAAGCGCTCGTTTTAGAGTTATTTAAATTCAGAAAAACAAAAAGAAAAGCTCTTTATGTAACAACAAATGAATAAATTAAACTCTTTTTTTATGCTGAAACAACCAGCGCTGCCTTGATCTCATCTTACATCAAAGTCTACCTGCGTCTGTGTGTGTGTGTGAGCGCCCCCACACATACACTCTCTCTAATCCTCGCACACAGATGTCGGCACACCCATGAATATTTTGAACAGTTCTTTTCGTTTTCTTTCTTTTTCTTTTTTTCAGTTCCAGTTGCAGTGCACTCAGGAAAACCAAACTGGTCTCTATAGCAACAGATGGCTGAATGAGCCGAGGTGCTGTGACCAATGAAGATACACTGAATTAATATGACCTATTTTAACCTCTGTGTACTTTTTAATTGGTAGCAACAATCATTTTTATTCAACATTGATCCCAGCAGATAAAAGCAGCATAAAATAAGATGGCAGGGCGTTGGTGGGAGAACTCATTTAGCCTATTTTCCTGTTAATTTTGCAGTGTTTCCAGCAGTTTTACTCAAGACACAGACAATGTTTGCATAGTTGTGGATCTCAGAAAGGATTTGTGACTTCGGTATGGCCCTAGCCTGCGTGTATGAGGTGTGCAGCCAGGGGAGAAAAGAGAGCGGGCATATGGGAAGGTGAGGCGTGAACCTGGAGAGAAGCACAGATGGAAGATGAGTCATGTGACTTGTGCAGAGTGGCAGGCAGGGACCTGGACGGAGGCCCAGGACGGGCCGTGGCCACGACGCAGTGAAAGTCTTCATCTGCGTGTTTATCTGCAGAAATCTGCCGGACAAATAATCAGTATGACGTCACAGAAGCAGCGCTGGCACGGATCCAAATAAAACCCATTTTTAAAATGGTGTCTGGCTTAGTTTCACACCGGCAAAACCATCACAGGTACATTTCTATTCCCTGGATTGTAGTGCAACATCAAATGTAGCCTCGGGACAGTTTGGCCTCGCTCCACCTGTGATATATGTGCCGACTGCTATCGCCTTCTTGTTTCAAATCTGTTGTCCGGCACTGCTCCAAGTCATTTACGCTGCACTTATTGAACGCATAGCTGACATTATTTATTTAAGGTAGCAACAGATCTGGCTCATCCCTCTGACAAATCTGACACCCATCCAAAACAAACAAAACAAAAAACAAAACAGCATCAGCTGCACAACTGAGGCAAGAAACTATGCTGGGTGCGTACGTTTGGTGTATTAGCAGAACTCAAGTGAAAACTACAGCAGGCTGTTTTTTTTTCTCTTCTCCCAGACTTTTATGCCAAGTGGGTGCTGTTGTTACAATCTGGTCGATGTACGAGTTTATTCTTCACCTAAAAAGATTTGTATAATACTTTGTCTCTTTTAAATGATCTGTATACATCCTTTAATACTGAGATTGCTGAAGGCCTTTGTTGGCACTGATGAGGTTTACCAGCCCTCTGTATTTTTTGTTTTCTTTTTGGCTGACTTTTCAATCAAAATGTCTTCAGGTAACAAGTTATACAAAACAAATGCTATTCGAAAGTTCTCCAAGGAGAGGTTTTTTTTGTGTGTTCCTCTCATTCTCATGCAATAGGGTCTACATAAGGATGCAGGATGCAGTTCTTGTTGTGGTCTAATACCTCTGCGATACATCTAAAAACAGCTTTTCCTTCTCAGCTAAAAGGCAGGCATAACTCTATATTCCAGTCCAAAGCATGTGAGGGGGTTCAAACAAGCTTTGATGCAGCTCCAGGTCCTTGACAAATAGTTTGCTGTGGACTTCTTGTGCTACGTCAGATCCCAGATGTAATATCCGTACCGGCTAATTGCGATAGTCCATTTGAATCATTCAGGAAGAAGAAGCCACGGAGGGGTGGAGGGGGGGGCCAACCATCGGGCTTACTTTCCTATCCATTTACACCCCCCTCCACTTATTTTTTTTCCAAAAGGGAACAATCATATTTTTGTGTGTGCAAACATTTCACTCTCTTATTTTGGCGGTATGACGACGAGCGGCGCCCCTCTCCGCGGCCTCCACATTAGCACTTGGGCATCGTTGGCGTTCGGCCTCCCCAGCGCGTTGGGAGGGATGGGTTCCTGGTAGTTGAGGATGTGCGGTTGCTCCTGGTAGGGGCGGCCCACCAGTGAGGCCCGAGAGCCCAGCGGCATGTCTGGATCCACGGCGATATCCACCCGCATCCGCCACCGCACCGTCTGCAACACTATACGCTCCTGGAAGAGGAGACAGAGCCACCGTGTTAATATGGTCGATGTGCTTGCTGATGATCTTTTAAGACCAAGCTGCTGACACAAAACTAAAACAGCCGTGCTTTCCTCGTGTTCTTTAATAAAATATCTCTTTCAAAAGACAACACATCCTGATTCACATGTTGTGCTGGACTGACTTCTGATGCCGCTGCTACATCAGGAGAGTTGAAGGTAATGATGAGATATTTTGTAACTTTACACCAGACTGGGAAAGTGCAGGAGAAAGTGATTACATCATAGCCAGTGTGAAATGGGAGAGTGGTTTCTGAAGATATACGGCTGTTTTTCTCCCCCCTCCCCCCATCTTATCGTGATGTGGGCCAAAGGCGGGATCGCTGTGTTTCGGGCCTACCTTCGTGACAGAGTTCATGGCCACCAACCAGGTGATGAAACTCTGGTCCCTGGTGATGTGGGTCAGCATGGGTGTGTTGCTGTTGCTGATGGGGACAGCCCAGGTCACACTGGGGTAGAAGTTGTCGTTCATGCTGACCGTCAGACGGGACGGTTTGGATGTAGGGCCGGTGAGGGTGACCGTCTCTGTGGTGTTGCCGTACCAGGGGTAGCTGACACCATCCGAGTCACTGATGGCCTTGACCCGACCCTCTCGCAGTTCTGGTAACTCCCAGCTGGACCTGCAGCAGCGGACAAAAGAGGACACAGAGAAGCAGAGGATGAGAGACTTTGTTTGTGTGTGTGTGTGTGTGTGTGTGTGTGTGTGTGTGTGTGTGTGTGTGTGTGTGTGTGTGTGGCAATGCCAGGTACAGGGTTTTGGTCTAGATGTGTGTGTGTGAGAGAATCACATGCACACCTTAGAGGCCCACAGTAAGCAAGAGAGGTTTGATGGCGTCTTCTACACACTTACATGCCAATATCGCCATAGGTATTGTAGAACTCCATCTGGGTGCAAGCTTGGATCCAGCCCACCACCCAGGTTTCGTTGCGGGGCACTGGTGGCATCACGACTCCCGCTGAGGCCCTGAAGTAAGGTGTCTTGTAGCGGAGCACAATCGGTGAGTTCTCCTCAATGATGGTGGGACACTGGTCAATAGAGGCGGACACCTCATACACTACAATGTTCTCCCGTCTGATGCGGGGCTTGCATGCGATGCTCTGAATACAGCCCATAGTGCAGGCGACAAGCAGAATGAGCAAAGCCAGAGAAGACGGGAGCCGATGATACCTGGCCAGTATGCACATCAGTCCCCTCAGGGTTCCACCCTTGCCTCAAGAGCAGATCTAATCCTTTAATTGCACATAATCACTGATTGGATAAAGGAAGAAAGGGGCGAGAAGAAGAAGAAAAAAAGCTAGGGGAATAAGCAACAGTCACCATTGATGAAAAATGAAAACTTCCACCATAATATCTTTAGGATGATATGGAGGTGAGACAGCAGTGTTGACTTGGGGGGAAGTATCGCAGATCTTCGCAGCCTCCTCCCCCCGGTCTGCCTGCTGACTGCCGCACTGCCCTTGGCGCTCGTCCCCAGAAACTGCAATCCGGCCTCCCCTGGGCTGCTGCTGCTGCCTCTCCGCCGAGCGTCCGCAGGCTCCTGTGTTCCCCGTCGTGTCCGCACGTCCGGCCGCACGTCGGTGCCCCTTGATCCTGCTGCTCTGCTCCCGGCTCTGCGCTGTCATGTCAAGTGGCGACAGGGCAGCCAGGTGCGTCAGAGGAGGAGGGGGTCTGGATGCCTTTTGTTTGCTCGGCTTTTCCCGTACTAGCCCTACATTCGCGAGGCGCCCTCACAAGCCAGAATCGGGGGTCCTCATCACTTTAAGCCCGCCATGAAAAGGAAGCTTCAGTAAAAAACGAGCGAGGACGATGTCTTACGAAAGCGAGCCACCGGGGCCGCAGAGGGTTATTTTAATGTTTCTCTTTTTTTCCCCTTTCCTCGCAGCGAGTTTCCATTCTTGGGGATGCATGAATGGTGCAATATGAATGGAGGCAGCGAGGCGGCATAAACGTGCAGGCGGGGAAACAGCGACTATACCGTCAGACTATCGATCTCGTTGTTGCCGCTCAGCCTCACGGGCCGGAGAGCATCCTCTTCCCGCGGAGGGTCGAGTTGTTCGGTTTCGAGGTGCTGATGCTGTGTGGAGGTAGAGGAGGGAGGGGCGTCACCCGACCTCTGCATTGAAAAAAAAAATAACAAGTGCACGCGGGCGTGTCTACGAGCATGCGTCACGCTAGAGTGGGACGCCATTGGTGGATTTGCTCGATAGCGGAAGTAGTGTCGTTTGACATCAACTCTCACTGACACGCATACACCGGCCAGCTCGGCTTATTAATACTATCATTATATATCCATACGTCGCCGGGTCGTACCCGCAGCCGGTGGCGCTAGTTTATGATCGGCCGTTTGTTCGGTAACTTGTCGCAGAAGGTCCCGAGTTTGCTGTACCGGGTGTCGCTGGTGATGAAGCCGCAGGTTGTATTCGTGCTGGGCGGGCCTGGCGCCGGCAAAGGAACTCAGTGCTCCAAAATCGTGGAGGTATGAGAGAAAGGGCAATGAAAACGGCCCTCTTCATCGAGCAGGGTTGTGAATGACGTGGTGCAAATGTGGTTCAGGGGGATATGCCTCTTTTTTTTTATTGTTGCGACTTCAGTAGGATCTTTTATTATAGGATAGTATCCCAGTTTTCTGTCACTTCCGGTTGTCCTCTAAAACGAACCTGTGCGTTAGCCAGGCAGCTAGCTTGTTCACCTCACAGGATATCCAGATTAAGTGCCGAAAGAGAAGCAGGAGCTATATTTTAATATATTTATTTCTTCAAGGAGACTCGATGACAATAATTCTTCACAATTGAGTGAGAGCAGCAAAGAATAAGGTATTTGTGGAGTCCTGCGACTGGATGAATGGGCTAAATAATACCTGTTTACGTAGAACAAACAGGAGATAGTGTATTGACTTTTCTTCAGTGCTGTCATCCTATCTGTGCAGATGGGGTTATGTAATGTCAGTGCGAGTCTGGAGTGCACTTGGCCACACTAGCCTTGACTTTGAACGATCAGAAACAAATAATGACATAGACATAGACAGGTATTGGACAAGGAACTAATCACCCCATCCTGCTGATAAGGCAAGGCACACGTCAACACATGTCAGTAATATCTGTTGTCAGAAATGTAGTAAGAAAACATTTTTTAAAAGAATCAAAGTATTGGGGGAAAGAGGCTGTTGTATATTACTGGAAGTTTTCTTTAACCCATAATTTATTTGTTCAGTCGGGCCAGAACAAAAAGTTATTTTATTTATTTCATCAGATCATCCTGAAAGTCAGCAAAGCAAAGCCAGGACTCGTAATGAGGCTGCTGCTTTGATGTTTGTCTGAAGCTCCTGAAGCTGCAGCTCTACTGGGGGCCGCCGTGGATTCTTTGATGTGTGTTTGGCAGACACAGCTTCTTTGAGAGAGAGACTTTATAGCTACCCTTGTTCACGGATGTTACTGGGTGTTGGCTGCCATGCTTCAAGTGCAGCGATCGGGCCTTGTGGCAGCTAGAGGCATAGAGGCTCCTTTCATTCAGGACTGACTCTTTTTTTCTGCTCAGCCTGCGAGTTAGAAAGATTTATGCTGTCTGTAAAGGCTGTCGCAGTGTTCACAGAAATGTACACACCTGGAAAATAGTTTTCGATTCTCATCACTGTTACTTGATTCAATTTAGAAATTTGTGTGTTTCTTAGAGTTATGGCTACACCCATTTGTCAGCTGGGGATTTACTCAGGGAAGAGCGAGCCAGAGAAGAGTCAGAGTTTGGACAGCTCATTGCCAACTACATCAAAGAGGGCAAAATCGTCCCAGTGGAGATCACCATCAACTTACTCAGGAAGGTGTGTATTCAATACAGGTTGTAAATCTGGTTCGCCTGGAAAGAGATCCTGCAGGTCAGACCTGTTTTCAACTACACTTTTACACTATTTGTTCAAACAAAAAAAATTCTACAAAACTGAGTTTTAACTTTTAATATTTAAATTTTTCTCCAAAACCCCGACTTTGATTCTGACATTTTAGTCATTTGAATGTAATGTGAATGATTTCTTTCTGTTTATCATTCAGGTTATACTGCTTTGTTTTTCTAAACTAAAGAGACAAAAATGTATTGTAGTTGTATGTTAGATACCTTCTGCTAGAGTTTACTGGTAGTGTTTCAGAATCACTTTCTTGGATGACTGTGGTCTGTTTGCTGCACTGAGAGACTAATTTTAATTTTAAGTATGTCAGCATCATGATATGAACTGTTACAGATGCAAAAAAAAAAATCTCAAATGCAAAATATTTCCTGTTTGTTCTTCCCGTTTTGTTAGGCCATGGAAGCGACGATGAAGGAAAACGAGAATAAGTTCCGGTTTCTCATCGATGGTTTCCCCCGAAACGAGGACAACCTTCAGGGGTGGAATAGTGTCATGGATGGAAAAGCTGATGTTAAATTTGTGCTTTTCTTTGACTGCAGCAATGAGGTAAGTCATGGACCTTTTATTGTCCATTTCACAGCAGGGATTGCTGTTTAAATGAGGATACAGAGAAATCATTTAACATTTATTTGCTTCATTCTCATCTTCTGTATTGCTACCACCTGCTGAAGTAGAGTGATGTCAAATTGTTGTGTAGTCACCCACAAAACTAAAGTGTAAAAAGAGCATGTTCTTACATCTGGCAAGTCATCTTAAGTTTTTAGATTTAAGTGGGGAAAAAACATCCTGGAATTAAAAGTTCTTAAAAGTACTTTTGGTGGAAATGTGGTTCTGCTGTGCTGAGCTGATGTTTTGCGAGTTATTTGCACTGATTTTGACTCTTCTGTCTGCAGGTTTGCATCAACAGATGTCTAGAAAGAGGAAAGAGCAGTGGGCGAACAGATGACAACAGGGAGAGCCTGGAGAAAAGGTGCAGTTCTCTACTGAGGAACTAATATCTGGAGTCAGACCTTTAATCTGTTTTAATTTAATAATATACCACTGAGTCGTCCATTTCCTGTGTTCGTTTTTTCCCCTCTATAGGAAAAACATGCATGTCTGATCACTATAGATTTGTCTGCCCCATTTAACTTACTGGTGGATACCTGCACAAATGTTTTTGACCTAATTTATGTCTGCTTGGAGTCCCTTGTGTCATCTGACCCCGATAACATGCCATATTTTTCTTCATTGCAGAATCCAAACCTACCTGCAGTCTACACGACCAATCATTGATCTGTATGAGAAACAAGGCAAGGTGCACACTATAGATGCTTCTCGCTCAGTGGATGAGGTGAGTAAACAGCGTCGGCTGCAGGAAAACATTCAGAAATGCCTCCCATAGAGGCCAGTTAAGGCCAGTTAAGGCAAACAAGCCCTGATTTATGAGAGAGATTATGTGAAGAATGCTACTTGTAGATTCAGTCCCCCATCATGCACCCAGGATGTTTTCAAGTTGTAATTTTTCACATTTTAGATCGAATGCTGTTGGGATTGTCGGGGGGAACTGGTAGTTTGGGCAAACAGGTATTTTGACAGGTTTTCGTGCCAAGGCTGCCATCATATGGTGGTTGTGATGTTCAGTAAATCCACCAATCTCCCTTTCAGGCTCATTTCCTTGTGCACCTCTGCATCACTATTTTTAGATAAGGCCTCTTCTGCAGTTTCACATTGGGCCCAAAGTTTCCCAGAGAAAATCATCGCTGTGATGAGAGCTTATCTCATCACTTCTCACTCAACTTTTCAGAGGAGGAATCTTTCATCCCAGCGTTTTCTATTCTCCTGTCGTAAACATTTAACACCGTCTCACAGCAGTTCATGAAATAGTCATGACCTTTAGTCTACTAATTCATTTCCCTAGACACAAATCTTACACTTTTTTCACGCACGCACAAATTTCCAAACAGTGTTTTGGTGTACCCGTGTCCATGCGCACAAAATGACCTTTTTCCACTTTTAAAAGTGGAAGAAGAAAAAAGTGCTGGAGCAAGTTATTTGTTATTTCTCATGCTACAAACCCAAATCTGAGTCACACTAATCAGAGAGTTTAAGACATTTTAGGGGTTTTTTTTAATAACTAAATTTTTTTAGAATTATTTGAATATACATTAGCCCTTTGACAGACTGGCCACCTGTCCTGGGTTTACCTGGCATGTCTGTCATTTACTGCATCCAAAGATTTGTTACCCATGTGACATCATCCACTTTTATCTGCCACTCGGACACACTTGACGGACATCCAGCACTCATCGCAGACACAAAAGTGCCCATAAAATGACTTGTGGTGTGCCCCAAGGGTCGGTTTTAGGCCCTGTACTTTTTAATTTGTATATGCTCCCTCTTGGCGGTGTCATCAGAAGGCATGGAGTGAACTTCCACAGTTACGCTGATGTTGTACATCTACGTGTCTCCTGATGACACCAGACCAATGGATGCCCTTTTTAACTGTATTCTAGATATAAAATCTTGGATGGCAGAAAACTTTTTACAGCTTAACCAGGACAAAACTGAAGTTTTAATCGTCGGTCCTGAGGCTCAGAGAGTCTAAATTACAGGCATTTTCACTATGTCCTTCACTACAAGTGAAAAACCTGGGTGTTATTTCCGACTCTGAGCTTGGTTTTATCCCACATATTAAACATGTAACCAAAATTGGATTTTATCATCTAAAGAATATAGCCAGAGTCCTGCCTATTCTCTCTCGGGCCAACATGGAGATGCTGATGCATGCTTTTATTACCAGTCGCATTGATTACTGTAATGCCCTGCTCTCTGGTCTCCCCAAAAAGAATATTCCACCTTTACAACTTTTACAAAACTCTGCAGCTCGTGTGCTGACGAAGACCAGAGGGCGGGCCCACATTACACCGGTTTTAGAATCGCTGCACTGGCTCCCCGTGTGTTTCAGGATCGATTTTAAAGTTCTTTTATTGGTTTTTAAATGTCTTAATGGTCTTGGGCCTTCTTATCTCTCAGATCTGCTTTTACCATACGAACCCTCGCGGACCCTGAGGTCCTCTGGTACTGGCCTTTTGATTGTTCCTAAAGTCAGGACACATACTCACGGAGAGGCAGCTTTTCAGTGGTATGGTCCTCGTCTGTGGAACAGCCTGCCGGAGGAGCTCAGGGCCGCAGAGAACGTACATGTTTTTAAGAACAGGCTCAAGACCCACCTTTTTAATTTAGCTTTTACTTAGCGTTTATTTATTCTATGTTATCCTGTTAATCTATTTATATTATTAAATTAGGTTCTACATAATATTTATTGTATTTTATCTTTTTATTCTGTATATACTATTATTAGGTCATATCTCCAGTGTTTCCTCGGAGGGGGCTCTCTGCACCGGGGTTGTGATCGACCGTGGCTGCTGTGGCTCTTCTCAGCCTGGCTGGGGGGCTTCTTTGCCTCCCTCCTGCTGTGTGCCCAGCCTGGAGGCTGCGGTCTGTGACCAGCTCCCGGTGCAGACGGCTCCCTGTTATAGTGTTTCCTCACCTGGCTCATGTGTGCCCAGCCTAATTTTGCCCAATTTTACTTTTCGAGTGTAAATGTGTGTGTGTGGGGGGGGGCGTGTATCCATGACCGCTTATGTTAATGAGAGTGTGGGGAGTGAAATGGAGGGCGGGATGGGGTGGGCTGCTTTTAACCATGTAAAGCACTTTGTGCTGCATTTCTGTATGAAAAGTGCTTTATAAATAAAGATTGATTGATTGATTGATTGAAGTATTCGGAACAGCCGCTCAGGCATGTCAAAGAGGCGACCTTTACTGGATTTCCAGTTTTTATTGAGTTTTTGTTGCACCTGTCATTTAAAAACAGTAATACATAGCCACGGACGGCGAGATAAGCTTCACCTGCAGCTCTTCCAGTAGTTCAGGCTTTCTAACACGTTGCTTTTTGTCTATTCCAGGTGTTCGCTGATGTGAAAGCCATCCTAGACAAAGAGGGTTGAGTTTCGCCAACTGCCAACATTCATTTATCTTTTATATTTCTTTTTATCAACTGCATTTACACTATAATAAGTTTATATGTTCATTCATATGACTTTTTACATTTGGTTAATTTTGACTTTGTAAACGCTGTACTGTTTATTTGTGAGGATGTAAAATGTGTATGAATGTGGAGGTAGCAATGGCAAGCGGCTACTTGTGATGAACTAGTTATTATTCAGAAGAGCTCACAGTGTAGTCTTTCCTCATAGTCTGAGGCCTCAGCTTAGAGACACACTTCTTTTGTCAAAGGCACTCGCAGCACTGAAAGTCTAAGAAAAACTGTACGTATGACAAATGTTTTCAGGGCATTGATAGAAGCTATCTCGCTCTTGATAAAAATGTTTGATCTGATGACAAGGAAGGAGTTAAGTCTGTACTGAACCACATATAGCCTCTCTGCCATCCAAATAAAATGATACAACATCCATCTCATGTTTACTGGACAGCACTACAGCATGAACACTCGCTTTTGTGCCGTGTGTCAGTATCTGCTACATGTTCCTGTGATAAGCTTCAATTTGGCGATGAATGCCCACATTATTATTCCAGAATGCGCGTCATCACGCCTATGCGAGCTGGGATTAGTGATAGTGAAAATGAAGATTAGGTGAAGTTAAGTATGCGCTGTGTACGTTTGTAAGTTCTTTTAAAAGTCCGTCTCTTTTGTGTTACCTCTGTCGACACCGCAGTGGATTTTAAAACCAATCAATATGTGACTGAATGCCGGGTCCAAAGTAAGCACATAGTTTTAAATACAAGAATTGTTTTTAGTACTTGGATGAAAATACTGTAGAACAAATGGATAATATGTTTTCCCTTGAGACCCACTCCAAGGCCTTTGCTGCAGCTGCCTTCAGTTACTGCTTGATTGCGAGTTTGTCCTTAACATCATCTGCTGGGTTGAAAATCAGGTGACTGACTTGACCATTGAAGAATATCTGATTTCTTTACCTTAAGAAACTCTTTGAGTTACTTTGGCAGAATGCTTCTGAGTCATCATCCATTTCAAACGCTGCCTGGTGAGTTTGAAAGAATTAACCAAAATGGTCCCTGGCAGCTCACACAATAGTGTTGTCTATACATATTTGTCTGAATCTGCGCAGAGAGTATAGCCCTGAACACTTTGTTTTTCATCCTGCTGCTTCTATCAGCAGTCACATCATCATAAACACTAGTGAGCCGGTTCCACTGGCAGCCATTCATCCGCATGTCACAATACTGCCTCCACATATAATGAGATGAGCTTCAGATCAGATGAGCCGTTTCTCCCCTTCTCCACACGTCTCTCTTCCCATCATTCTGGTACAAGTTCATCTTGGTTTCATCTGTCCAAAGATTCTCTGATGTTTTCTGGAAAAGTCTAATCTGGCTTTCTTGTTCTTGAGTGTAACCAGTAGTTTCAGCCTCACTGTAAACCCTCTGTATTTACATCCGTGAAGGTTCCTCATGATTGTAGACCTCGACACTGATACACTCATCTCCTCAAGAGTGTTCTTGACTTGGTTAAATACGCCCAATTACAGCGTCGTTCACTTTAATCAACATTTCTTTTTGACATTCATCATATTGTGAGTTTCAATTAAAGATACCAAATGCATGGAATATCATGAAACTGGCGTCACCAGGCCAGGAAACTGCACCTCCAGTTAATTTTAAGCCTCTGAATGTGGCTGTAATTTATGAGGTGCCGTAAGGGACATTATTACTGAAACGCTCTCACACACACTACTGAAATTTTAGCTCTCACACACACTACTGAAATTTTAGCTCTCACACACACTACTGAAACGCTCTCACACACACTACTGAAAATTTTAGCTCTCACACACACTACTGAAACGCTCTCACACACACTACTGAACGCTCTCACACAACTACTGAAACGCTCTCACACACCACAACTGAAATTTTAGCTCTCACACACACTACTGAAACGCTCTCACACACACAACTGAAACGCTCTACACACACACTGAACGCTCTCCACACACACTACTCTACTGAAATTTTAGCTCTCACACACACTACTGAAACGCTCTCACACACACAACTGAAACGCTCTCACACACACAACTGAAACGCTCTCACACACACTACTGAAACGCTCTCACACACACTACTCAAACGCTCTCACACACACAACTGAAACGCTCTCACACACACACTACTGAAACGCTCTCACACACACTACTGAAAAGCTCTCACACACACAACTGAAACGCTCTCACACACACTACTGAAACGCTCTCACACACACTACTGAAACGCTCTCACACACACTACTGAAACGCTCTCACACACACTACTGAAACGCTCTCACACACACTACTGAAACGCTCTCACACACACTACTGAAACACTCTCACACACACTACTGAAACGCTCTCACACACACTACTGAAACCTCTCACACACACTACTGAAACGACTCTCAACCACACTACTGAAACGCTCTCACACACACTACTGAAACGCTCTCACACACCACTACTGAAACACTCTCACACACACTACTGAAACGCTCTCACCACACTACTGAAACGCTCTCACACCAGCACACTACTGAAATTTTAGCTCTCACACACACACTACTGAAAATTTTAGCTCTCACACAGCCACACTACTGAAACACTCTTCACACACACTACTGAATTTTAGCTCTCACACAATACTGAAACGCTCTCACACACACTACTGGAAACCTCTCAACACACACTTCTGAAATCTTTAGCTCTCACACACCACTACTGAAACGCTCTCACCACACACTACTGAAACGCTCTCACACACACTACTGAAATTTTAGCTCTCACACACACTACTGAAATTTAGCTCTCACACACACTACTGAAACACTCTCACACACACTACTGAAACGCTCTCACACACAACTGAAACGCTCTCACACACACTACTGAAACGCTCTCACACACACTACTGAAATTTTAGCTCTCACACACACTA